TAGAGGACAACATTTTAGAGGACAGCATCTTAGCATCTATGACAGCATCTTAGAGGACAGCATCTTAGCATCTTAGACTAGCATCTTGGCATATGCTTGGCTGGCTAGCAGTTTATAAATATGTACCCTCAACCCCTCAGGTTGGCATGATATTTGTGTGAGAAATAAACCAGAAAATTGCCCCAACTCCTAGTGTCATCCTCTCTCGATGAAAGTAAGAATTCTGCTACTACCAAGAGTGATAATTCAGCGACTAACATAAACTGCTCTGGGTAGTGCGGGTGGTGGCTGTTTGTGCATAGGCTCTAAAATTTGCAGCAAAAAGGAGGGGAATACTAGGCTCGACTAATCAGCCTGGTCGACGACTAATCACGATTAATTGCCTGGTCCATCCCATGGCGACTAGGTTCGACTAGACGACTTGTGAACATTGCATAGCTTTTTTCTATGTATCTAGACATAATGTATATCTAGGTGCATAGCAAAAGCTATATACCTAGAAAAGTCAGAACGACTTACAATTTGGAACTGAGGGAGTAAAAAACACCCTGATCATTAGGTACTAAAAACCAGCCAATTCATGGAAAGAGTATACATACTTGTCAATAGCAACATCATAGATCTGATTAATCCCAACTATGTAACCATTGCCACAGATCAACGCTACAAGCCCATAGAATGCTTTGAATAGCAACCACCAGTTTATCAGATGGGAATTCTCTATCAAGGCTCTCGCAACCAATGCTCTGCATCAACCCAATGAAATCAATACCAGAAGAAAAGATACTCCCTCCGTCCACAAAAGAATGCAATTCTAGCACAATACCAAGTTAAAGTATCTTGCATTTGACTAACTATAAATAAAAAAATATCAATATTTATAACATCAAATAAGTATCATCAGATTTGTCATGAGTTATATTTTCATACTATACTTATTTGGTGTCATGAACATTAATATTTTTATCTATATATTTGATCAAACTTTAGACACGTTTAACCAACAATGCACCTAGAATTGCATTCTTTTGTGGACAGAAGTAGTACAACTTAGCTGACATTATAAATCTAATAATAGAGCGGTCGAAACTCACATGGATCCTAAAGCAGTTCCTCGGATTGTATGTGGCCTTAGAAATCTCCAGAAGGAATCCTTGAGGTCTAACAGTGTCTTTGATAATGGAACTGGTTCAGCAGCATCAACTCGAGAGCATTCCTGCAAGAGGACCAGTAAAATCAATGTTGTCATACCATACAAAAAGATGTGCATAGTTTAGTTAGGTAAATACAGGGATGCCCTGAGTAATAGCAATGACGAGATCATTCATTCATAATTCTCATGAGTAATGTCATTAGTTATGCAGTATGGTCCAAAGGTAGTCATATCCTTCATACTTCGATTGACATCCATTTTTGTGGATCTCTGATGATAATTAGGGTAACTAGGTAATCAAATGGCTGACTGATGTAATTGACGGGCATCCATATTTACACTATCCAAGAAACTAAACAAATTAATCGGCATCCATGTTTACACTTTGCAAGTGTGTCTAATCTAGAAACATTGTTAAAGAGAGGGCAATTAAATTTACAAGGATGCAAAAAATTCAAGCAGATAGCAATGTACATTCAGACCACCGTTCTATGAATAGCTGAACACCCACTAACTTCACTAATATGTACAGTAACCTTTAAAAAGGCAAACATGAATCGCACATTTAGAAATAGCACTGCTATCGTGTGCCCCTCCAAGCACAAATGCAGAATAAGAAAGTCGTGGGATGTATATCTGACAACGGTTAGTGTAAGCTCTTAGGTATCGCAATTTATTTATCCTTGTCCTCCGTACAAGAGCTAGCAGCACACTCTACTTAAACAGTTGAATTTGGTGTGGAACTGACACTGGCAACAACGCTAGCAGTACAGTTTGATTGGCACGATTGCTGCAGAACAAATTCGGAAATCACTGGCGCTGCAGCCCGCTGCAACAGAAGAAGCACCGCAAGCAACGGCAGGGCGGCATTGGGCTAGAGACGGGGATCAGGCCATCAGGGGGACTTACCCGCACGGTGTCGCGGCGGTGCTCGCGGGAGGCACTGCAGGGAGCGCGAGGGGCGTGAGGGAAGCGGCCTGCGGAGGCGGAGGAGAGGAGCGGCGACGCGGACCGCGACGGGCTGAGCACGCGGGTGGCGGGGGCGGCGAGGAAGCGAGGGGCGGTGACGGAAGTGCGGGACGGGAGCGGAGGGGAGGCCAGGGGAGCCATGGGGAAGGGCCGGGGAGCCGGGCTTGGACTCTGATTTTTTTTAGCCACCCGTCGTCATTGGTGACGTCGACGCGAAAAGGCAAGCTGAGAAGGGAGTGAGGCGGGTGACGAGAGCCGTAGGTGTGTTATCCTGTGGCTACTGCAGTGCGGTGCTGCTGACAGTGTGTTATTTCTGATTTGGGTCCCCTTCTCATTTCTGCTCCCAAGTCCCAACTTCACTCCCACGGAGAAAAAAAAAAAAAAAAACTCACGCCCACGCCTACAGGATAACACTGTCAACAGCAGTACCATCGTCTAACTGGTTTCGCAACAAAAAAAAAATCTCTTTCTACGTATGTGCCTCTAGTTGTACCTCTCAATTATTTTGGCCCCACCACTTTCTCTTTCTACGTGGAAATGCCTTTTCATTCTTTTCCTTCTCTCTTTACTCTGTCTTGCTTTTGCTCAGTTGCTCCTTGCATTCCTGAATTGTGGCATATATCTTTTATCAACCAAGCCTGCGCCTCCCTCTGTAGGGTACTATGACACCTTATGGAACCATTACTAGAACTGAGGTGGATGGAACAGGTTAGAACTCAGTCAGAGTGGATCATTGGAGAAGCGTCTAGAGGTCCACTAAAGTTGCTCGCAAAAACCTTTATGCTTATATGAAATGGATCTGCGTGTCTTAGCACATGTGAAGCATGTGGACTTCCAACTGTTTGTGTTGGAGAAGCTTGTATACTCTCAGTATCCCTAAAGGAATGCAATGCTAGAGTTGAGATAAGTGAAACATTTTTAAGTTTGATAAAGTTTATAGAAAATAGCAATCCCTCCATCCCAAAAAACTTGGCGTTTTGTGATTTAAAAAATGTCCTAAAATTTTTGATGTTATGGGTATTGGACATGCACTTTCTCTGCATTCATGCAACACACTTTAATTGGAAAATTAAACCATGACATCCCTCCTTTTAAGGAAATCTCCGGTAACAAAACATGCATGGGTGAGTCATTTCTTTTCTTCACTAACCTATTTGAGAAATCCTAGAACATCAAGTTCTTTAGGACGCAGGGAGTATCATACCTATGTCTCTAAATAGGTTTTATTATAAAAATATGTTTTATAAATAGTCTAATGATATTTATTTGGTATGAAATTTAAAATTACCTAAAATTTTAGAACTGAGAATTATATATTTTTTTTAAGGGACCGAGGGAGCACGCACTTATCTTACTCTGGTCTTTTGTTCTCTTGTTGAAGCGTGAGGTTGTTCAGCCGCTGAACCAGGGAAGCATGCCAAATGTTACGACTAGTCGCCTATGACGTTTCTTTCTTTCTTTCTTTCTTTTGATTGAAGCCAAATTATTCGGTCATGGCGATGGCGAGTACCAAGAACCGCGTATGAACTCTCGGCACTAGCCCGTGTGGAGCGTGGACGCATGGCAGTGGCACCCACCACTTTAGCCATTTGCATGTGCAAGCGTCAAAAAATCTCAACGAAAATTATATTAATCATATCAAATTATATTAATCATAACAAAAAATCTCAACGAAAATATGATTTTTCTAAGATATATTAATCATATCAAATCATATTTTTTTTGCGGAATTAAATGAAAATAATTTTTATATGAAAATTATAGATCTCAACGAGATCTACAACTTTCTAGTTTTGAGTTTTTTATTTGAAGTCGTTAAGATGCTAAAAAAAATTAATAACATATTTAGACTTAAGGGTATTTTCGTCTTTTCACACCTGCAATTTGACGGCATTAGTGTCCAAACTGACGGAAGTGGCATGGAAGACACGAAAAAGTTGGAGTAGTGACGCTAAAAACCGCTGAACCTTTCCAGAGACACACAGGGCATTGCGATCTTTTATAATGGCACACCGGGAATTCCCCCTCGTTGTTTTCACGAAGATCATCATAGACTCGCTGGCGCGGATATTAAAGCACTCATGGGCCAGCCCCGGGGAAACCGAAAATGAATCTCGTTTCTCGCGGGCTCAGCTGGTGCTGCGCTCTCCTGGGCCAGTTTTCTCCCTCGCCCTGTGACTGTTGCTTCTTGGCCCACTTCTAGTTCAAGCAAACAAACACCACCACCCCTAGAAGGCTAGACCCAGCTGAGCTACGAAAACAAACATGACTCTATGCACATCAAGAATCAGGCTGCGATTGTCCATGCCATGTTGGGCCACATGGGCCACCCTCGGCTAGGATTCCAAACAGGCCCTTTGTTTCTTCGCAGCCAAGCCCGTGTCGTGCGTTGCTGTGTCCCCGGTGTCGATTTTTGTGACTCCCGCTGTCTACCTGGAGATGATGCGAAGGTTTGAGTACCGCCAGCCAAACAAAATCTCCCGTGAGCCAAGCTAGGTGCCAACAATCAACCAAACAAGTTGGACTTGCATGCACAAGACCAGGCTCCTATGCCTGGCTCTTAGATACGGGACGGGTCAGCTCCAAACGAGAACCAATCAAGCTCTACATCTCTCGGTGTGTTCAATGGGAGAAATAATAAAGCTAAAAAAATCCTCTCCTTGTATTTCTACATCATCATAATAAAGCCAACTCCACTAAATAGCGAACGTTTACCCGATTTGAAATGTTACCTATCCTTGTTCACCGTAAGACAACCAAGGATAGGTGACATTTCAGCCACGTGTTCACGTTTGTATAACTGTGATCTCTAGGATCAGGAATATAAAATCCATAGAAGTGCAACTTCAGAATGCTTGCAGGTTGCTGCTGAACTGGTTCAGCGCGAACTCCGCCTGTTGGGGGCGCGCCCGTACCCCGCGCACTGCAGCACCCCGCCGCAGTCGCCCGTGCGGCAGCTCCCGCGCCCGCTCGCGTCGAACTGGCAACCCGTGCGCGCCCAGATGCGCGCCGCCGTCGTGCCCGCGGGGGCGGTGATCAGCCACGTCTCGCCGCGGTTCAGCTGCCGCCCGCCGCCCACCGGCACGGACGCTGCCCACACGGTGAAGGCGCACTGGTTCACCACCGTGAAGACCGCCGCCTCGCCGACCACGGCGAGGAGGTCGAGGGCGGCGAGGAGGAAGCTGCCAACGATCGTCACGGAAGCTGCCATTTTATTGATGAATGCAGAACGTATACAGAGAACGAAGCATGCGGAATGCTTAATTTTGGATACGTGACATTAAAAAAAAAATTGGATACGGGTGCGAGCACAGGGTTTTATAAAGACTGAGGGCCTGTTCTTTATTCCGACCAGGAATGTTATGCTAATTTATACTATATTTGATCACCTGGAACGAATCATGCTGGAACGATGGTTAAACGAATGAGCCCTAAAGAGGACGGACTGGATGACCTGGAGAATCGGATTGGGATCGGACGTGGGAAAAAAATCAAAGCTGGTGGACTGGAAGATGTCACGCTGAGATTATTCACGTCCGATCGTGCATGGTGGGAATTCATGGTGGTTATGGCTGGAGAAGGACAGAAGGTTGAACAGTTTCAATGGAAATTGTCGAGAAGATTTACTAGCTAGCTAGAGCTACTAGGTACTAGCTGAGATTGTTTGACGCTCGCTGGCTCGCACATGCAAATGACTAAAGTGGCGCCATGCGTCCACCGGCTGCCGAGTAGTGTACATGCCATAACCGAGTTAGGCTTCAACGTCGTAGGCGGCTCGTCGTCACATTATTTGGCAATGTTCCCCTGCCTCAGCGGCTGAACAACCTCACCCTCGAACGAGAGGACAAAAGACCCGAGTAAGATATTCCCTCTGTCCCGTTTTTTTTCTTAAAAAGAATGCTATAAAATTTTTTAGATAGATTAGTGCTCAACGAAAATTATCCATGTACCCCTACTTATTAAAGGTGAATCATGCTAATTAATGAATAAGTCCCTTCTTAAAAGGAATGCACGGAGACATAAAGACTGCAATCTAAAGTTGATGGACAAATCTATTATCTAAAAGATGTCACGCTGAGATGTCTGCGGCCTTCGGAGAGAGATGAAGTGTGGGGGTAGAATTGTTTTTTTACTAGAAGAACTAAAATTTTAGACCACTTTAACTCACTTTTATGATATAATGGTCTAATGTGCTTTAGGGGAGTTAGCTAAAGTTTAGATATTACTTTAGACTATTTGTTTGGAGACTTTATCTAAACTTTAGATGGTGGAATCCAAACAGACCTTTAGAAAATGCATCCTAGCTTCGACCCAGTACCATCCTTACTGGTTGCTTTTCGAAAAAGACATATCACTACTACAAAAACTTTACTGGAGGCGGGCGTTTTCGGTTTTCCGCGGCGGGCAAAGCCGTCCGCCGCGGCCTAGAGGCCACGGTAAATCGTGGCTTAACCGCGGCGGGCGGCCTTGCCCGCCGCGGTTAACCGATTTACCGCGGCGGGCGGTGTAACGTGCCCACCGCGGTAAATATACTTTTACCACGGCGGGCACGTTACACCGACCGCCTCGGTTAATCATTTGGAAAAAACAAAAAAAAAACCAAAGCCCACTGGCGAGCCCAATCCCAAACCGAAACCCTAGCGCCGCCATCGTCGTCCCTGGATCCAGCTGCAGCCGCCTCTGCAGCGCCGCTGCCGAAGATGAGGCCGGAAAGGAGGAGGGCGCCGAGCAGCCGCGCATCCGCGTGCGCCGCCACCGCAGCTCCGACGTCCGTGCCGGCTCTAGATCTAGGAAAGGGGAGAGGGCACAGTGAGGGAGACGAAGAGAGAAGAGCGAGGGAGACGAAGAGAGACCTGCACCTACATTGGCAGCGCCACCGTCACGGCATTCACCGGATCCGGCCAGGATCCGTCGGATCCAGCCGCCCTCCTATAGGATCCGGCAGCCCTCCACCTAGAACCGCCCGCCGCCGTCGTAAGGGAGGGATGGGGAGGCCGCCTCCCACCAGATTCGGCCAGGGAGGAAGAAGGGGGCCAGATCCGCACGAGGGAGAGAGAGGAGAAAAGGGCGCGCCGCCGGTGGATGTCGCGCCGCCACACGAGGAAGGGAGCCAGGTCCCGCGCGCAGAAGCCGACACACGCCCCATGTCCCCGGCGCCGCCGGTGGATGTCGCGTCGGGAGAGGAGTGGAGAGGTGGTAACGACGGAGTGGAGAGGTGTAACACCCCAGGTGTTTGTCACTAGTTAAGCTATGAGTTTGAGCTCAAACATGATAGATTAAGTGACGATGAAGATGTCAAGGTCAAACCTATGGAAACAAGCCCCAACCTAAACTTGGATATTGCACCTTTGCTCGCCTATAGACCCCTTTTTCAAGATATATGCTTGGGTGGTGTTATTGGAATATCTTCGTGTGTCTCACATCAATAACCATCTATATTGATCCATGGAAAAGTTTCGTGAAGTTTGGAATCAAGAAGTCACATGAAATGACGAGTTATGTCGTTGCTTGAATTATTTTATAAAGTGAAGGGAATTCTCGATCATCAACCAAATCTTGAAACCATGCCCAAATGACTCTAGATGAACTCTACAACAAAAGTCATGAAAGGTTCATGTTGGGCAAATGCCTCGAAAACGCTCCAATGGATCAAAAAGGATAATTTAAGCTTCATCGTGATCCTACTTTGGTCAAAGTAGAATAGTAGGTTCTATACCAGTTTTGAGGTTGGACCTTAAATGAAAGTTGTAGTCCATATCATGTAGAACAAACTTTGTTTTTGGACCAAGAGCTAGATCAACTTGGAAATAAGTCAAACAGAGGCTCGAAGTTGGAACCTGCTGCTGATTTCAGCACTTAGAAATATTCTAAGTCTGAAATTCATCGACATCGGCATTGACGTCTCGCGTTCTCCAAATTTCGTTAAGTAACTTGACTTGACCCCAAAATAAAAGTTGGAGCATACATCGAGAAGAAGACCATGCAAAAGGATGGCACTCGTTGGACCTTTTTTATGACCCTCAATTTTGGAGTTTGCTAATTGCCATCAATGCATTGACAATGCCACTTTGGAGATTAATTACCCACTGTTATGTTGCTCAAACGACTAGAGTGCCTTAATGAAAAATGTAGAGCAAGCCGAGGTGATCAAACTTCATTTTTGGCCCAAGGTTTGATTCGGCCCGGAAGTGGCCCAAATCAGCTCCCCACCTTGTCAACTCCGGCGCACGCCACGTGCTCGATGAATTGTCTCCGTGTCAGCCAAGCACCGGAGCGCGCTCCCACCATTGCCGCGTGGCCGCAGCTTGCCGACGCGCGTCCTACCCCAGTGCCACGCGATGCTGCATGTCCTACTCCTCCTTAACCGAGCGCCAGAGCTGTCCCGTTCCTTCTCACTCTCTCGCTCGCGCTCTGGCCGCACCAGAGCGGAGCCGCCATGGCCGCCGCCGCCAAGCTCCCGTGCCACCGCTGCTCCCTCGCTTACAGCCCTCCTGCGCCTGCACCGAGCGTCGCTACGCATCCGTCGCATCACGACGCCCCTCCTGCGCCCCTTTTTCGGTCACCGCGGCCGCCGGAGCACCGTCGCCGCCAGTTCCGGCGGGCTCAAGCCACCGGCTTCTGTGGCCGCGCCACCACAGGCCGCGTCGGGCCAAGCTGGGCAGCCCAGCGTGTGCGCACGGACCCCTTGGTGCTTCCCCATCACTCCCCCGCCGACGACGTACCTTCTCCGGCCGCAACAGCAAGCTCCGGCCATCCTCTGCTCTGTTTTTCCGACCAAGGACGTAGCGCAAGAATTCGAGTAAAGGGGAGGGCCTAACTGCATAACCTGTGACTCATGTGAATAGTGCCGTAAGGACTGGTTTGTAATTATTTTGCAGGAACTTTGGAAATTCATAGTAAATCGTAGAAAATTCGTAAAATAGTAAATGAGGACTTTTTGGAATCCTTGTGAAATTGTCTATGCAGTGGATCTATAATATGGCATGTTTTAGTTTAAATATTTTGCGGTAAAAATAGATTTGTGTAGTAAGGTTGTAATGCTAGTTGAATTTGTTATTTTTCATAACTGTAGATCTAGGGCTCCAAATGAAGTGAAATTTTTGTGGCATGCTACTCATGTGATAGTTGATGTGTGGTAAAAATTTCATGAGTATTGGATGAAGTATGAGTGAGTTATTGGTTTATCTTGCTCTCACATGATTTCTTGCTTTAGCAACTTGTCTTTTTCATAGAGGTTGCTATACATATTCAAATGGAGTGAAATTTGTACAGTAGACTATTGAGAGGATATGTGAGCCACTGTAATTTTTGTAGAAGTTATTGTGCACTTTTGGTATATGTTCATTAAATCACCTTGTTATCTAAAATAAATTAAGAAATGCATTAAAAGAATTTATTTGGTCATGGACACTAGGTTTTCTGGTGTTTTTTAGTCATGTGTGAAATGTTGGTAAAGTTGGTTTTGCCCAATTATGTATTTGCAACATAAGTTAATAATTATTTTCTTGCCGATGTGGTTTATGGACAGATCTGGGAACTTAGCAAAGTTCTTCATGATAATGTGCTTTGTTGTGAAACTTGTTTATACAAAAGTTGTAGATAATTCATGTATCTAGCTTCTATTAAAATTTGGTGTCATTTGGCCAAGCAGTTTAAGAGTTATAGCTGTTTAAAGTTGGGTTTTAGAAATGGCTGCTTTCTGTCAATTGTAGACCAGTTTCTGTAAATGGATATATTTGACTTAGCTAACTTCAGAATCATACTAAGATGATTAAATATGAATTGTAGAAAATTTTATAATCTTTCCATAATGTCTTCTTTCAAGTCATTTGGATTTGTGTAACTCCAGTTATAGCTAAATCTTGTAGCTGCTGTTTGCATGTCCAGAAATTGGCAGATTCCAATTATAGTGCTTGCTTGTATATTGTTAAGTGTGACGTATGCCTTGAATGATGAATGAATTAGAGCACTTGAGATCTTGGGAAACTTGTGTCATGATTGGTGTTGTCGTCATCTTTGCCATCTTAGCATGATAGATTGTGTGATGTTTAAGTTAAGCATCGCAAAGTACTTAAGTGTGTTAGTGTAAACTATGCTTGTCTTGCTTGCTATTTTGTGATGTGTCTCATGGTACTATTCTTCATATTTGTGCACTTGCATATTACATCTCATCTAGGTACGCTAGATGAACCACGTGAAGGACGTGATGTT